CACGGTCTGCCCCAACACAGTAAAAAAAATGCACTGCCTGTGGCGGCCCACACTCCTCCGCCGATCGGACCTGCCCGAAATGGAAGGAGGAATGCAGGATAGCCAAGGCTCGACTCGACAAGAAACTGAGCTACAAAGAGGCCCTCCTTGCTGTACGCTCCCAAGACAAGAAAAAAACAACAGAAAAGAAAAACCAAGAAAAGAAAACACAAGAAAAGAAAACACAAGAAAAGACATCCGCCACACAGAATCAAGAACACCACGAGGCCCGTGGAGCTGAAGCCCAAGTGGTCAACCTCACCATCTCCCACACCTATGAGGACTTAAGACACGAGGAAGACGAACAACAAGACCCAAACACGAACGAATGGACACTTCAAGAGAGCAAGAAGAGGAGGAGAGTTAGAAGAAAATCTACATCAAGCTAAGAAGAATACCAAGACATTTCCAAGCACTGAGAATCCATGGCCCAACCCAACACGCACCTGACGCTTGACCTGACGCTAGCCTGACTCTGCCTGCCGCCTCCTGGCCTCGAGTTGCTGCTGCCTCCAACTTATACTCCCTCACGCAAGCGGTGTTTAGCCACTGCACCTATTCTCTCCTCCTAAAATTCTCTTCATTCCTCCCTTTATTCTTCCCCTGAACATCCTTCCCCCCTGTCACTAGCATTTCATGTCATGTCAGGGAGACCATTCTGATTTGACCTACTGGACCAGCAAGACCTCTCTACAGCGCCTCACCAACCAGCTCCCTCAGAGAGCTCCTCGCCCTACAGGACCTCTGAGCAAGCTACTCATCACCTAGTAACTCCTTAGCACTGCACTGTACAATAATATATATACAGAAAACGCATTGTGAGTTTCTATTCTACCTCAATCCTGAGTGTGAGATATCTACATGTACGTACGTTTGTGAGCCCATACAAAGAGACAATACACAACCAAAGAGAACTGACAACTGGCCATATACAGTACGCTACAATCCTAGTTGTAATTATCGACAGTTCCTGCAAAACGATATCATCTTAAACCGAAAGATGTCAGTGACACTGTAATTATCATCTTACGATGATTTTACAGAATAAGTATCTATCTATCCTTAAAACATACAAATTAGTGGCATTACCCAAGACGTCATGTGAGTATGACGTCACCGCTATCTGCTCGTACGTAGTCGACATTATCTGGTTGCGTTACTTGGGTCCCACTTAAATTTATCATTTTTGTAACCCTTACAGATATGGGACCACTATGTGTTCTAGTCATATACGTTCTTACTACATTACTTGAGCAACGTGTGGTGGTAGAAAAAACTGTCCACCAATAGGTATATGAGTAATATGTGTAAGATTATGATATGGGAATCGACGATCATGTGAGATGAAGGAAATCTCACCAGTTTGTTATCAAGATTCACTTTCTTCTAATGGTCATTCGAGGAGCTTCAGTTTGTTGCCTCACAGTATAAACAGCCCATATCTTTATCATATTTAGCGTCAGTTAATTATGCTTTTTTATGTTCACGGTCACTCTGTCAGCATCCATTACTTTTACAAAATTCTTCACCACTCCATTCATTTGACTTCTGAGAATGGAAGAATGAAAAAAAATCTGGTAAATCAGTTAAAATTTGGTAAATATTGCACATCAAGGTCACTCTCTGCTTGGCAGAGCCGCTGGAGGTAACGTTATCGAATCACCATTTTTATTTTAGTTTTTATCTCAAGTCTAGTTATTATCAGTTATATTAATATTATCACTAGAGTTTCTGAGGATACTATATAGTCTTCGTCGGGAGATTCTTTCATTCTAACATACGGCTATCATTACGACAATGAAGTACTGTATTACAGTATTGCGGTATCTGTATATGTAAAATATAAGAGCTGCCTGCCACATAGGGCCTAAGGGTGTTTATACCTGTCCCGTAATATTATACCACGATCTCTTTAAAATGTCAATGAGTCCGTGTGTATCACTGTCATAATTTCATTGACAGGGAGAAACCAGGTAGAAAGAGAAGATGGCAGGAGAGTGACGAGGACTATAGCGGAATCGGAAATGCCATTGTTGAGGAACTTGAGGCTGCCGCCGCTGCCTAACGTAGGATGCTCAAGCGCTACCTCGGACAATGAGTTCTATTCGCTTTGTGCATTTTCCCCAGATTTTCCTCATACACTTTCTTTTAAAGAAGTTATTACCTGTCTTACATTTTAATAACACTAGGCGTCGTTAAGTGAATTCAAAACGGGTTTGTCATTTTAACTCATCATTTCAACGTAAACTTATATACTCTTACAGCTTTTCGTCCACACAAATTCCTTCATCAACAACGACAGATAGCTGAGCAGTAATGCCATAACTGGAGTTAAATGAGCGCATATGGATAATTAAGGTAGTCTGCAGTTTCATAATTATCGTTAAGGATTAGTTATCAGAGACGTGACCGATCGCCCAAGCGGCTAACGAGCCGATCAGTGGTGAAGAAGATAAAAGTAAAAGTATAAGCTAACTTGTCTACGTTAATTAATATTTTGTTTTAGCGTAAGACAAACGGTTAAATATATTATTACGTCTCTACTCAAGAGATATATTCACCCTAAAACCGCTGAAAACTATAGTTGGTAACTAAACCATCTGAAAGTGACACACATCCTGCCAACACTATGCATGTGTACTCAAACACTTAAATGATGTTTCATTGACACATAGCATTACAAATACACATACAGGGATACACAGGTATACAAGTGCAGATTTAGATATACAAGTGTACAAGTATAGATTTAGATACACACAAGTGTGCTGGACGTACAGCACGTACAAGTACACATTTTGGCGTACAGAAGCATACAAGTACACATTTTGGCGTACAGAAGCATACAAGTACACATTTTGGCGTACAGAAGCGTACAAGTACACATTTTGGCGTACAGAAGTGTACAAGTACAGATTTTAACGTACAGAAGAGTACAAGTACACATTTTGGCGTACAGAAGCATACAAGTACACATTTTGGCGTACAGAAGTGTACAAGTACAGATTTTAACGTACAGAAGGCGTACAGAAGCATACAAGTACACATTTTGGCGTACAGAAGTGTACAAGTACAGATTTTAACGTACAGAAGCGTACAAGTACACATTTTGGCGTACAGAAGCATACAAGTACACATTTTGGCGTACAGAAGTGTACAAGTACAGATTTTAACGTACAGAAGCATACAAGTACACATTTTGGCGTACAGAAGCATACAAGTACACATTTTGGCGTACAGAAGTGTACAAGTACAGATTTTAACGTACAGAAGCATACAAGTACACATTTTAACGTACAGAAGCGTACAAATACAGATCGATTTAGATATACAAACATATGGCATATATACGTGTTTCGGTATACTGTATAGAAATATATACGTACAGATTTTGGCATGAACAGGTATACAGGTACAAATTTCAGTAGAAAGTAAAAAACAGAAAAGCTACCACAGTGGTACAACAGCCACGACCACGAGATTAAAATATATAAAAGCTTTGTAACCTAATCATATATTCATAATAATATAGTCATTTTACTTCTTAATTATACCTCGCAAAATACAAAGAAAACCACATTAATATATCCAATAGCTAAATTACCCATTAATGCGTATGTGTCAAGGTTTAGCTGGGGGTGTCTAATCTTTATGTTAGGTTTGGGTAAGTTAGCGTAGGCTAGGTTAGCTTGTGTTATGTTAGTGTTAGGAAAAGCTATTTTATGTTAAGTTAGGATAAGTTAGCGTTATGGTAAACTAAGATTAGCAAAACTTCAAGAGAAATATTTGAAATGTACAGAAAAAAAATTATACTCTGGTCATATAATTAGGGATAAGAAGATAATAAATATTAATGGGCAAAGTTAAGGGTAGGGAGGGCCAGGGGAGGGCGGAGTCTGGGATGGATGAATTAAATTAAAAACTGGGTCCCCAGAGAGAGACTAAACAGCCTAGATTCCTAGAACGTTTAGAGTGGAGGACGATGGTCGCCAACCCTCAGATAATGAGGACGGTATTTTGATGGAGGTTAGGTTAGGCTAATTTATATTATGTTAGAGTTAGGTTAAGGTAGGGTAAGTTAAGTTAGGTTCTCGGTAGAGTGATAACTTTTAATGTGAAATAAGCTACGGGGGCCCCTTACGCCCGGAGTTTTAAACACCTTCTAACAGAAGAGGTGTTAAAAAATCCGGGAATCTTTTGGTGATCCGAAACGATACAGTGGGATGTCTTGCCGTGTCACACAAGCTATAACACGTAGAGTACGTAACCGTCTGGACACGTTTACTGGGTGGCGCCAGCGGCCAGAACGAACTGCCGGGGGACTTCCTTGCAGAGAGAGAGAGAGAGAGAGAGAGAGAGAGAGAGGGATGATAGTGATATTGAAACAAAGTTTTATTTAACTAGAAAAATACAACAGGGGGCGGGGGTGGATAGGAGAACATGGCGAGCATAGAGAGCCCACCCAGATGGGGGATTTTTTTTAGCCCCTTAAATCTTTTTTTAAAATCTAACCAATATCATGGGCATTTTGAGGCCATTTTGAAGCCATGTGCACTTGATATTAGAAGATATTCTGAGGTCAATAGTAATTACTTTTTACAATCCACAAATGTCTGAGTATAATACTGCATAAGAGAAAATGTATTGGCGTTTTCTGATCCCCACCCTGGATCCGCCCCTGATAAAGATATAGAGTCGATAATATTGACAATAGTGACAAGGCTGAACCCACTGAGAGCTTGGGGACTTGCATAGAGAGAGAGAGAGAGAGAGAGAGAGAGAGAGAGAGAGAGAGAGAGAGAGAGAGAGAGAGAGAGAGAGAGATTCAATAAGGTGATTAGATATCTCATAGCAGTAAGCTAATACGCGTAGATTCTATAAATATATCACTAAAATATGGAGACATTCACGGTTTGGCAACACAGCGCAGCAAAACGTTCTGGCACAGGGAACGATCTGCCGCGTACTTACCATGAACAAGGCCAGAACGATTCTTGTAGCGTCAGTGCAGCTACAACAGGTCTCTTACCCTCCTGTAACAGTGAAAAAGGGGGAAGGGGGAGAAAACTTCTCTGTGCAGTGAAATTCAAATCAACATGTCTATTTCATCATCTTTTTCCTCAAATACGATGGAAGAATTTTATTATAATCCGTATAGAAACGACAATACCATCTTGTACCACGTTAACAGTGATTTTATTAACCAGAATAACAACAGTGAATTCTTCCTCCATGACGATCCTGCAGTGCTAAGAGGTCAGACTCACTTAACGGCTAACACCTACGATTTGTTAGCCAATACAAGTGGAAAAAACAAGTTTGATTTGTTATCCGGGGCCGACATGTACACTTCAAGTATAGACGGGCCCCTGGATATCCTAGCCACGGAAAAATTACCCCTGGATAGCGAAACCACGAAAAATCTACCCCTGGATATCTTAGCCACGGAAAATCTACCCCTGGATATCTTAGCCACGGATAATCTACCCCTGGATAGCGAAATCACGGATACTCTACCCCTAGATATCCTAGCCACGGATAATCTACCCCTGGATATCTTAGCCACGGATAATCTACCCCTGGATATCTTAGCCATGGATAATCTACCCCTGGATATCTTAGCCACAGATAATCTACCCCTGGATAGCGAAATCACGGACACTCTACTCCTAGATATCCTAGCCATGGATAATCTACCCCTGGATATCCTAGCCACGGATAATCTACCCCTGGATAGCGAAACCACGAAAAATTTACCCCTGGATATCCTAGGCACGGATAATCACTGGTGTGTGGTAGAAGCAGTTAGCAGAGCGAGTGAAGTAAAACGTGAACACTTGATGCTACTACACGACCAGGAGGAGTTTGTTCAGGTTAGTTGTGCTATTGTAAACCAAAATATGTGAGAGTAGTAGTTAATTAGTAGTAGTAATAGTAGTAGTAGTGAAGTAGTAGTAGTAGTTACCGATAAGGGCAAATGGTTTCAGTCTTAATAAACAAGAATTTACAGATGCCATTGCTCTAAGGTGCGGTCGGCCAGTAGAAGGTTTGCCCTCCCAATGCGTGTGTGGCTCTTCCTATGATGGCGATCACGCCATGGTGTGCAAGAAAGGGGGCTTCATATGCATGAGGCATGACGAGGTAAAGGACCTCACAGCAAATATGTTGAAGGAAATTTGCCGGGATGTCATGGTAGAACCGACCCTCCTTCCATTGGATGGTGAGATCTTCCAACACAGGACTTCAAACACATCTAACGAAGCCCGTGTGGACGTCAGTGCTCGAGGATCCTGGACGCGGGGACAGCGAGCTTTCTTCGACATCAGGATTTTTGATCCCATGGCCGCATGTCACCGTAACCTAGCTCTCGATGCTGCACATAGGAGGAACGAGAGCGACAAGAGAAGGGCGTATGGGGAGAGAATTCAAAACGTTGATCAAGGCAGCTTCACTCCTCCAGTGTTCACAACCTCTGGTGGGATGGGACCAAGTGCAAGATGTTTCTACGCCAGACTCGCGGAAGTGATCTCCGAACAGAAGCAGCAGCCCAGAAGTTTCGTTACAGCCTGGATGAGATGTCGACTGTCTTTCTCTCTTCTTCGGTCGGCTTTGCTCTGCCTCAGGGGAACGAGAGCTTCTGCCCCTACTCCGACAACTGCTGCAGATATTGACTACGAGGCTACAGTCACTGAATGCCGCATAGATCGGCGGCTCAACTAATTTATACAGATAGGATAGCTACTTATGTATTAGGATATTTAATATTAAGGTAATAAAATGGTGGCGAAGGTGTGGCTATTGGGGGAGGCTGGAGGCCACGTAGTTTTAATAATAAGTAATAGTAGTAGAATTAGTAGAAATAATAGAATTGGTTGTAGTAGTAATAATAGAAGGTCTGCATTGCTCTGCCTCAGGGGAACGAGAGCATTGGCCCCAAAGCCGACAACAGTTGCAGATATTGACTGTGAGGCAACACTCACTGAATGCCGATTAGATCTGCAGCTCAATTAACTCAACACAGCTAGGATAGCTACTTATGTATTAGGATATTTAATTTTAAGATAATAAAATGGCGGTCAAGGTGTGGCTATTGGGGGAGGCTGGAGGCCAATTTAATAAAAAAAGAAGTAATAATAGTGGTAGCAGTAGTAATAGCAAAAGTAGCAGCAATGAAGTGGTAGTAGCAGTGGTAGTAGTGTCTTAAGTCAGTGTTAATATTTCTTTACTAATCAGTGACGTTATAATGTGGAAGAGGGTTGTTATTATTGTTGTGTCAGAGTTGTAAACAGTATGAGGGGCGTCACACAAAGCTGTCATGTCCCTTATTCTGTAGTTTACTTACGTTACTCATCTTGTTTAACTGATAACACTATTTTTTTTCCTGCAGGAGTTGGGAACCATCAATCTAGATGACCTACCGGACGACCAAATTGACTTTTCTACTCCTACAACGTCAACCAACTCTTCTCCAGGGTCGACGATCTCTTCTCCAGCAAGGACTATCTCTTCTCCAGCAAGGACTATCTCTTCTCCAGGGTCGACGATCTCTTCTCCAGCAAGGACTATCTCTTCTCCAGGGTCGACGATCTCTTCTCCAGCAAGGACTATCTCTTCTCCAGGGTCGACGATCTCTTCTCCAGGGTCGACGATCTCTTCTCCAGCAAGGACTATCTCTTCTCCAGGGTCGACGATCTCTTCTCCAGGGTCGACGATCTCTTCTCCAGGGAGGACCTTTTTCGCCCAAAACGACCAACAGCAACATCACAGTTGTACACACGACAACGATGTGGAGACCTGCACACCAACGAGACGGCCCAACAGAAGCACCTTGATCGAGAAGCAGAAGACTAGCAAGTTACGGGATCTCAACAACATGGCATCACGACAATACCGCCAACGTCGTCGCCACCGTCTTGTGGAGATAGAGACACAAATGCATATACTGGAGAAGAAAAACACTGCGTTGCGAGCCATAGTGGCCAAGCTGGAGAGACAGAGAGAGAGGATGAAGAAAGCAATCAGTGGTAGTTTAAGAGTGAAGGGCGGAACGAGAACTTCCAAACTATAAGTGAAAGATTTCGGGTCAGGTTTGATATACTGTAAGTATCCACGCCGGGAGAGAACACAGAATCTGGTGCACAATAGTTACGCTGTGTCATTTAGGACAGTGATTTAAGATATTGATAAGTGTAAAATCTAAAGAAACTTGGTACTGTATATATATGAAAACATAATATTATTTACACCGAAATGTGTACTTTTTACCTAAATATAGCATGTAATTTATACCCAAATGTGTACATTGAACAGAAATATACTGTATACTTTTTACCAAATACATCATGTAGATTATAACCAAATGTGTAATTTATACCCAAATAAAACTTCAGTTTGACTGATATTTTCTGATAAGTTTGTCGGTTTGCTAAGGCTCAAGACTCCCCATGTTGAGCAAGAGTGGTCATGCTGACAAGCTCGTGTAACTGATGCCTCCCAAAAAGAAAATTAAAAGTACATTACACACTGTGCTTATTGTTGCTTCGATTTGGGCATGTTGATATCAACAATTATGTAACAACCTCCAAGAGCCTGACGCCCGTATTATTAAACATCTTCCCTTGATGAGAGTCGTCGTGTTTCAACCCAAGTTTTAAACTAAATGAGTCCTGAGGGACACCGCAGTACAGTACTTAACAGGGCGGTGTGGCGGTAAAATGAACTAATTTCTATACGTATTATAATATAATTTTATAGGAATTAGTTCATTTTACCGCCACACCACCCCGTTAAGTACTGTACTGCGGTGTCCCTCAGGACTCATTTAGTTTAAAACTTGGGTTGAAACACGACGACTCTCATCAAGGGAAGATGTTTAATAATACGGGCGCCACAGTCTTCCTATTCCATGGTACAAATAGCTATAAGCTCTAACATGAAATATAGCAGCAATGTTGATGTCACAGGATGCAGCTGACAAGATAAGTCATCGTCAGGCAATTCTAATTCTGCGCGAGACAAGGTGGCTGTCCAGAGTAGATTCTTAATTGGTGCATTTCTTGCTAGCTATAAACAGATACATTTAGCATCGGAAGACAGAGCAGTCCAGTGTATAAACTCTTCTGCTAATGCCTCTTCGCAGATAGATAGACATTCAGTATACTGTATATGTTTACAATTGATTCAGCATGTATATCGATAATGCAGACAGCAATTAGGGTTTATCTATATCCCGGCTGCTCCCCGTCCCAGCACACCGGTATTCAAACTCATTCCCGGGATCTTGTAAACACTTTAAAATAAAATACAAATTGAGTAAAAAAAATTATATACTTAGGATAAACTGACATGGATGCAAACTGTATGAATCTATTATAATACAGAAAAAAAGTATAAAGAAAACAGTCATAGAGAAAGCATTAAAACTGATGCATTTAAACGATAAGAATTACACTGGGAAATAAGTTTTCGATTTTACACTCCGAATCCCTAATGAAGCTTCGAACCAATATTTATACTGAACCTCCTCACACTTGGGACTGTGTTTCACTGTGAGTTAAATTACTACAGTGAAACTTCCATCTACGGACCTTCCTCCCCATATAGTCCGTTAAATAGATTCCTCATACAACAGACCTCGATCTAACGGACTTTCCTCTCTATATAATCCGTTAAATAGAAGTGTCACCTTACCCTTTATTCTTGCACCACCTCTTGAACTAACCCACGTAATAGGATAGGTTTTTCCCCTCCCAGTGTAGACTGAAGCTACGCCAGGGAGTTTAAATTACTTCATCCGGCCGTGACAAGTTGTTCAGTTTTGGCGGGATTTAACAAGACCCATAGCCCAGGAACACGGCCAGTAAATCAATGTTTTGGCGGTGTTACTGCTAGCAATAATGAGTTGGATGACACATTAAATAAACATTATGTTAGGCTGTAAGTCATGTCATGTTTATTGGGCGTGCCTGCCCGTATATAGAGTGTTGAGGTGGTGGGGATGGAGAGACCCAGAGGAGGTTGGGGTGTTGGGTGGTAATAAGGGGAGCTTGTTTGCGTATAAACGCCTGACACAGCAAAATCGGTCAGCCAAGGCTGGACAAGTGACGCCGGGCAGGGCACTGCCACTGTAGCTATCCCCATCATAGAGTCAACGCCTTACCTGTTTCTCTTGAGACTTTCAACACGTAAGTTTAACCTGTACTTAAGTTTACACAAGCAGACTGTGTCTATTGCATCGGTTATCATTGTGACAACATAGAGATATGGCAAATTAAGTACTCATTATAAGTGTTAAGATTAGACTAATTACATAGCTATGATTGTTATGTAAATATATATTGAATTAAACATTTATGTATGAGTGCCTATGTATGATTTATTTGAAATACTAAAATGAATTGTATTCAACAGGTTTGACCCAATTATAACGTTCGAGTTTAACGTGAAGAGTCTGATTAACCTTTAAACGCTCAGAAGGCGATTACAGGCGGTATTTAACAAGACCCATAGCCCAGGAACACGACCCGTAAATCGATTAACATCCAGGTTCCCAATTACTGTACTGTTGGATAGCCAGGTATCGGCGACAACATATCATTCGTACACAACCATAGATGATTTTTGTTTCAATAATTAGTTTTCTTTTTTGAGTGACTTCCAGTGACGACTTTTGAGTGGCTTATTGAGCTACTATTGAGCGACTTATTTAGCTACTATTGAGTGACATTTAAGTGACGTTTTGAGTGACTTTAGTTACGTTTGAGTAACCCTTTCGATGACATTCTGGTTCGTTTATTACCTTTTCCGCATTTTTTCTACTTTTCGTAGTGACTTTTTTTTTTTACATAAGAACATAAGAGAATAAGGAGTCCGCAATAGGCCGGTTGGCCTGTGCATGGCAGCTCCTGTCGAGAGTTACTACCACTCTCTATCATCCATGAATCTATCTAGCCTCCTTTTGAAACTTTCCAGCGTTCCAGTACTTGTGTTGTTTTTTCTCAATATGATACAAAAATGTACAGTAACAATAATAACAACATAATGTACGTACAGTCAGTAAAACGGAGCAACACGTACAGTACATTACATAGTGTACACATAAAGCTGGTGTGTGTGTGTGTGTGTGTGTGTATACATAGCCACGCACAAAATGTAATACTCATTCATCATAAAGGCCTAGTTTTCCTGGTCAGCCTCCATTGTGTGAGATACTGTAGTTCCCCACTTCTCTCTCTCATTCATTTTCCCTCACACTGGTTCATTCTCCAACTCTCCTTCTCCCTTTTTAGCGCTAAAAGGAGGGGGGGGGGGGAGAGACAGTTTCAAACTACTGTACAAGACTACGGTAATTTAAAACTACTAAATATATCAACGCACAACTTTTCCGCCACTAAGACATACGTATGTGAAATATATATATTTAACATACAATGGTTATTAAGATTATTATATTGACCATTACCTTATGAAATACAACGAGGGTCTTGCTGGTTGTGACGTCCCGGACTTGTTGATACACGTATGATATTGCCGGTGACGTCATGTGACGTCATGATTTAATCATCCTTCCGTTATCCCTAATTTCGTTACGGAAGATTTTTAAAGCAATCTCTCACAATGATAATACTCTGGTAGTACATGATTAATTGGATAATTAATAAATTGTGAATACATTCTTACTTACTACACTGTACGCAATTTCTAGTCGTACGTCCGACAGTGATGCACGTAAGTGCCAAGTTACAATTATGAATATTTTTCAGACAAAACAAACCTTATTAAAAGCGAGCTCAAATTTGCTATTAGTGTTTTAAAATAATATTATAAATACTGTACAGTTGAATAAAATAAGCTATTAGAATGCAAAAGTGTGCATTTAACAGTAACCGTTGGCAACTGCCGACGTCATCAAACGTTTCACCCGGAGCGCGAGCACAACATGATGCAAACGATGGGTCAGTCAGTGTAGTCGCTTCATATATAAACGCTACCGCCAAGGTAGCTGACATATACAGCTTCAGTCCACCACTGTGAGTGTAGACCACCTCATCAGACACATTTATAAGTGAGCGAAAATTAAAGAAAGTGAGAATAGTGTCGTGTCCCCACTCTGGCTCAAAAGTTATATTGACCATGAATTCCTACGATCACTCGATAGGGCGGTCTATGTTCGAAGATATTATTAGTTACAACTTCAACGAGGAACACCCTGCCCAACTGAAACTGGTAAACAACGATCCGTACTTTGGTGACAGCGGCCTGAGCACTATGTCACAAGACGGACTGTATGAGCATGGTGTGGGACTGTCTGCCTCACCTATGCTGCTTGGAGTGGACGACACAGCACGGAACAGCAACTCAGTCAACAACTACAATGACGCTGATGGGCTGTTGAGTGGTGTAGATTTGCCACTGCATCTACAACAAGACGTCAACGAAATACTACAGTTAGGAGATAACTTCCCTCTAATGGACCCCAGTGTTACCCGTAATTTCGAAATGGACATGGCTATCATCGCCGGAGACCCAGACACTCCCTTGGTATGTGAGAATTTAGAATTGACTTATAGAGAGAACTGGAATTAGTGGTGTAGTTATTGTGGAATAGAGGGATAGAGAGAGAGTGCTCATGTTTGAGTAATAGAGACAGCAAGTGAAAAGGTATTAAATTACATATATGAAACACATGGGAATTCAGAGAGAGATGGATGAAGTTTGTTGGTGATATACACAAAATACACTAGTTTGAGGCACATAACTGAGACAAATATTTATAAGTAATGGTTAGATTGAGACGTACCAGTAGACAGATGAGACGAAGTTGATGAGACAAGAATAAGAGATACAGTTTGAAATAAAATAAATGAATTGCAAAATATTTTTTTTAGCGTAATTGTAGTGTTTTTACCAAAGCAGTTTTTAATACGAAATTGTAGTTTTGTATTTTCTATTTTTTATTTAATTATTGATGCTTGACAAAAACTGAATCATTAGACTTATTATTTTAATAAGAAACGATATGAATAAAATGACTTAATTTCATTGACGAAGGAAACTATAACTAACAATCTATCTTTCTTCTTGCAGAATATGGACACCTTCAATTTGGAGCACCTCAACCTGGATGCCCTGCCGGACTACCTCCCACCCGTGCCCAGGACAGTCCAGCAACAACTACCAACACATCAACAGCAATTACCAACACAGCAACAGCAACTACCAACACAGCAACAGCAACTACCAACACAGCAACAGCAACTACCAACACAGCAACAAACACGAAGGCGACGTAAACCTACCAGAAAAAATAGTTTCCAGACACTGATTCCAGACCCCCAGCCCTTCCCGTCATCCCCGGGTCAGTCAGCTCCCCTATACCCACCTATTGAGGACCTAGGAGTAACCAGTCCCGCTTACTCCCTTACTGACAGCGACCCTGGCAGTAGCGGCGAGACAAACGGCTCCAGACCTCGCCAGCGACGTCCCAGAGTATCGTACAGTACCTTAACGGAGGAAGAGAAGTATCACCGTATCCGAGATCTCAATAATGAGGCCTCACGACATTACCGCAAGCGACACCAGGAACAGGTGTCCAGTATGAAGGAGCAGGAGGCACAGCAACTGGAGAAAAACAAGGTACTACAAATGAAAGCCGCTGGTTTGCAGAAACTAAGAGACCAGATGGAGACGTACACACACTCCTTCCTAAGGCAACATATGTCTGCCCTACCTGACAACTTCACTCATCAATAACTTGTTAATGAATGTAATGCTCCTTAACACCAATATCTTGTCATAATATGTCTCTTTAATGCTGTAGCTAGTTATAGTCAGGAACACCGGTGACATATAATGTTCCCTGACTATTGTTTTATAATACAAATACGTTTGTTGTTCCACATAACATATTATGCTCGGTGAACAGAGAATATATTATACTGTACATGAGTCAAACAATGGATTAAGAGGCATATATTACTGTACCTTATTAATTACATGTTAACTAATTTTTACAAGTACCTTAAATGTTGTATTCTATATTTATAATTTTGTTATAATAAATTTTGACTTTCTTAACAATATTTTGTCTTAACCTCAGATAATGAATGACCTGTTGGTCAAAATCATATATATAAAATGATGCGGGATCAGCCTTGGCGACTCCCACTCAAAATAACTTTAAAAATCAAAATAATTTGTATATATTGTAGCTTATTAAATTCAAGTTATACAATGAAAGTGACTAAAGAATTATTAGGAGAACTGACAGACATTACATTACCGCGAACCACAAACACTGAAGTGGTGTGACTACTCAGCCAACCACTCAACTTTTTCAACATTAACATCTAAAATGAGACTTGGGATTTCTAACTTTTACCCTTAAAGATAAACCTCAGCTAAATGACAGAGACAAACATTAATTTTTTTCAACAAACAATAATTTTGAGAACAAAATCTCTAACTTTGGCCCTGGAGGTTAAAATAACACCTCTATAAGAGTAAAACCAAACTAAACACGGGTGCATGTTTAGGGTGAACGAAACGTGACGCAACAGGATAACGATTGAGTCTCTTGTCTGTACCTGAGTCGGTGTTTGGTAACTTTGGTGTGGGGCTGCGGGAGTCCTGCCTGGCTCGGCCCCCCCAACCCTCCCGGCCGGCGGGGTAGTGTCGAAACCGTTTTGTCATTGTAGTACATCAGCCAGCCTCACAGTGGCGAGCAACAGAGTGGCTAGGTGGCTCAGTTGCTCGCCGGTGTGTGCAGCGAGAGGTATACTATTCCGGTGTCCGCCTCTTGTCTAACGCCCACGCTCGCCCACACATCCATACATACCCTACTCTGACCAGCAGATCAGAGGCGGCAATCATTCACAGTTCCTCAAGCTATTAACCATTAAAGACAGCCGAGACAAAGATAATGTGAAGCACGAAAACATCAGAGTGAAGTGCATATGTGTTGTGTTATTTGTATACATAAGTGACGCACGACGAAGATAGTTCCACTTGTTGCTTACTTCAGTGTCAGCACAGATGCCAGTGTAACACATGAACCACCCAACTGACTTGGTGTTCGCGCATATATATTGTACAGTACACGTGTTTTTGACAGCCAGGGACACGGCGTTTACACTCATGATAAGTGTTACAGGTCAGAGGCAACAAAAGTGAAGACCATCACAACAGCAGCACACACTAAATAAGTTTGTAACAAATACTGTATTACCAGGGCTTGTGTAACGCATGACAATAGTAACGGGAAGTGTGTCAACCAGGCCTTAACCTCTGTCAGCCATGATGCTTGACCATGACAGTGACGGCAGGGTGGAAAATGATCTTAATAATGACCAAAATACTGCAAGTTGCGTTACAACTCCCAGGCATCCTAATCAACCAAGAAACCTCTACAATGGTGACGTACAGCAGCATGAAATTTTCCACCAATCAGGGCATCACATTATCGGTGACACATTTCCCGCTGGAAATCTCCACCAATCAGGACACCACATCGACGGTGACATAATTCCTGCTGGAAATCTCTACCAATCAGGACAAGTCACTGGTGACATAGTAAGATATCTCGACCAATCAGAGGGGCAAGGTACGGATTGCCCTCCGTCAGGTGGCTGTTCCGGATGTCATTACATAAATGACTTGGCCCATAATGTGCTGCAGACAGAGAGTAACTCACCTATGCTGGAGAGGGACCACCAGTACCTCAACTATATCGATCGTCAGCTAGCCAACTCCTGGCAAGATGACACCACGGTGAGTACTTGTACTGTAATGTATAAATATTAATAGTACCAATATAATTGCTGCTACTCCTACCAGTATTACTTACATTATCATAATAAGCTACTACTACCCGTACTGTCATAACTGTACCTGTACTAATATTTCTAAAGCCGTATCATTATAACTTTTCGTATTTTTCAGATGTGGAACAACTTTGGCGCCGACTCTGCCTTAGGGAGTCGTACTGATACGGGGCTCTCCTTCACCCTCTCACACCCACGCTAAAGGCGGCGGCACACTGGATCCCGTCATTACAGTTGAGGCCTTGCAGGATTGTGCGATAGTTCCTTAATTAATGAACCTAGTGAGGCGCCTGTAAAAGCTAAAGAACAGACAATGGGTGCATCGTGAAGTTTCTTTAAAAGTGGCGGTGGCTGGCCGGCCAAATAAGACCCTGAATAATGATATAATAAAACTAAAAAAGTTTTAAAGTGACGAATAAATAGAAACATGTTACCGTTTTATGTGTTATATTTTAAACTATTATTGTTTCTTGATTTTCAAATTTTACTTGGATATTCATCACCTAATACGAAACTCATTTGAGTACTAAACCGGCCAACAAAGCTCACCGCCGCCAAACCGTTGTCCATTTCTCGCAACAGCCGAAATCATGCTGCTTGCTCGGCCGTCAGGCCAGCGGCCAGCAAAACGGGCAACATGTTGGGAAGAAAGTGCCCAGTGTGCTGTCGCCTTCACCTACACCCAGGAACTACGAGACACCCTCACCTACAACCAGGAACTACGAGACACCCTCATCTGCAACCAGGAACTACGAGACACCCTCACCTACAACCAGGAACTACGAGACACCCTCACCTACAACCAGGAACTACGAGACACCCTCATCTACAACCAGGAACTACGAGACACCCTCACCTACAACCAGGAACTACGAGACACCCTCATCTACAACCAGGAACTACGAGACACCCTCACCTACAACCAGGAACTACGAGACACCCTCACCTACAACCAGGAACTACGAGACACCCTCACCTACAACCAGGAACTACGAGACACCCTCATCTACAACCAGGAACTACGAGACACCCTCACCTACAACCAGGAACTACGAGACACCCTCATCTACAACCAGGAACTACGAGACACCCTCACCTACAACCAGGAACTACGAGACACCCTCATCTACAACCAGGAACTACGAGACACCCTCATCTACAACCAGGAACTACGAGACACCCTCACCTACAACCAGGAATCTACCAGACAACCTCACCTATACACCATTAAGGCTTTGGTTGTTCTTGGAAGCGATCTTTTCCAGTCTGAGTGATTGTGGTGGTTGTCTCCGCTTATAATAATTCTCATCATACTCTATGGCAGTGTGACTAACGGAACATACAATGTTTAACAGAGTTTTATATTATGATCCAGGGACTGTGATTGCATCTCGACTGCTTGGGCGGTCGGTAACATCTCTTGTTACACACTGTTGGCAAGTACTGGTTCCAGAATGCATCTGTACCTGCGGCGCCAGTGGTGGACATGTCTGGTCTTGAGTGAGCTTATACTCGGTGCCGTCACTACGCTGCGTGAGTGGGGCGGACGTAGGCCAGCTCCTGATAATTATGACCACTTAATATCCTCTGAGGTGCTTATTTTAGGCTTTATTTTGGGAGTGTGACTACCGGAAGTTAGAATACTTAATACAATCATATATTATCATCCATGAAATGTGATTACCTTATACGTCTGTGTGTATGTATACGTTTGTCTGTATGGGTGCGTCCGTAAAGTATACAATTTAGGTTAGTTTACGTTAGGTGATGTTTGAGGTATATATATACACAGTCTTTATTCAAGTCATCTTCAGAGGCAATGACTTGAATAAAGACAAAAGCTAAGGTGCTCCAGTGTTTCCCTTTTACTGTGTGGTTTTATCAAGATATATCTCAACGTCTCCATTATGTATCTACAATTTCTACATGGAAGACAGTATATTGCGTGTATGAATAACAGTATGAAAGTATATTGTGTGGATGTGTGTCACATGAATTTTTCTGTACAGTATATATTTTGTGTATATATTTTTTACGATGAAAATAAAAAAGATATGATTCCAGTTGTATTAAACACCTTTGGTATTGATAATTTATAATATAAAATTTTACTACCACGTAACTACTACCACACTGTACCATACTACCACAGTATAGCTACTACAATACATACTATCACCACTACTGCACAACCACACCGCTACTAAGACCTCTACCACAACGTAACCACAACCACATTACTTAAACCACAGAAGCTACCAAACAACAATCACTAAACAATTACTACAAACACACCTTCACTTCACTGCCACACCATTACCACTACCACACCTTCACTTCACTGCCACACCATTACCACTACCACACCTTCACTTCACTGCCACACCATTACCACTACCACACCTTCACTTCATTGCCACACCATTACCACTACCACACCTTCACTACACTACCACACCATTACCACACTTATTACTTCTGCATCACTACACTATCACACTACCACATCACCACACTACCAATTTATTACCAGTACCACACAATCATCACTCACACTATCACTATAGAAGAGTCACTCCATATGAGTAGGTAGAATAGTAGGCAGCTACCAAACAGGGAGGTACTACCGCCTAGGAAGATATTGGAAGCATAATGTGTTGTCTAATGGTAGACCCTGCTGCCATATGGCACCACGAAAATTATGACCAAGTCCCAGGTTGCTGACCTGACTTTCTGCCTCATTTACACACAATTGCAGCTGTCAATTGTTTCTCTTCCTTTGACAACACAACATAATATCTGTCGTTTCTCACTATCGATTTTTTAATGTTTATATTTATTTATGGTCCTCTATTATTATTATTATTATTATTATTATTATTATTATTATTATTATTATTATTATTATTATTATTATTATTATTATTATATTTTCGCCCCCAAGCCCTGATGTGGGTCATTGACCTGTGCCCTGGTGGGCTAATCCTGTAAAAAAAATATTAACCTCACACACCTGTATCGTGACGTAAATACATATATACGTGGTTGTAAATGTACAGTATAAGCGTGTATATGTATCCGTCTTATACTGTTAGATATGTGTTGTTTGTGACGGTGTACACAGTGAACAAGTCTCCTTTCTGTAACTATCCAAAACGTTTATGATGGTGAATAAAGTCTCCCTCGTGTTGTCGACGGATGTGACCATTCGTTTTATCGTGAAGGGAAAACTGAAGAGTGACCAGGGTTAAAGTACTCCATAACTGTTATTTACTCAAAGGAACATGAAAAGCGGGACAATGTTGAACACTGGTGAACATGTTTCCAGTCGAGTCTCAGTGTTATTTTGGTGTCATTTTCTCTCTAGTTAGACAATCAGGAACGTCTTAGCTCTGTGATTACCAACCCTGGCTGACTCAATAAACTTTGCGGATAATATCATGAAACATTCTAATTGGTAACAGATGAACAATGTTATATTATAAAGAAAATATTAGTTGATGAGTGATGTGATAATGAAATAATATTACATCAACCGGATGTCCTCAGCCTCACTAAGTTAAGTGTTCAGGAACAAGACGGGTGAGAATATCGGCTCCCACAAACGTTTATTTACCTCTGAGGCGGCCGCCAGAGAACGGGGATGGTACTGGTTCTCTACCCGACACGCTGTGTTTGTCGGCGGGACACTCACTCGCGTATATATGTGGCCGCTCACAGCCGTCAACACCACACTAGCCCCGCCGAGAGTCATGATCACAGCCGCTCATTGTCACCTTCACCTTCTCTCTTATCGTGAGATAGAGCTCGACTCACTGTCCACCTTGTACCGAGTGTTAAGTTGTCCCTTGACGGTGCCCGGTGAAGACTCCATCCACGTCGTCCGCACACCACAACAATATGCAGGACCTCCGTAGCTCTCCTTACGCCATCCTCCAGCAGGAGTGTGTCTCGGTACTTGATCCTCACCTTAGTTTTGACATGGACTTGTTGGCAGCCACCCTGGGGGGGTCCCCCAACACTCTCTGCTATGACGGCGAGGGAGGAACCTTCTGCAAAGACTCTGGCCACGCTGCGTCAGGGATGGCGGCGGTGTCGGGCCTGGGAGAGGACGGGGTCACAGGTCACCTGGGAGAGGACTGGGTCACAGGTCACCTGGGAGAGGACGGGGTCACAGGTCACCTGGGAGAGGACGGGGTCACAGGTCACCTGGGAGAGGACTGGGTCACAGGTCACCTGGGAGAGGACGGGGTCACAGGTCACCTGGGAGAGGACTGGGTCACAGGTCACCTGGGAGAGCAGCCACAGGTCACCTGGGAGAGGACCAGGTCAGGGACGACAGGTCACCTGGCAGCAGCCTGGCCAGAGGACGACTACCTGGTAAGTTACCAACAGGTTGTAGCTGCAGTCTCTGTACTCATATTTATCTCATTATTTTCTTAACTTGGCTTCAAGTGTCACAAAATCAAACAGGAATTAATTTGTATGATTAATCGTCAAGGAATTAACTTTAAGACTTCTACAATCTCGTATTAACAATTATGTAATTTTATAACAAATTAGGTAGAAAAGTTTAAGTTAACAACAATTATATTAACAACCACCAAATTATTTTTTTTTACATTTTTCAAATGTATTAATACGTCATATATTATTATTATTGTTGTTGTTGTTGTTGTTATTACTGTTGGTAATTTTTTCCCGGAAGTCATTGTGTCATAGTAATATGGATATTGTTGTGTACAGAGTTTGGGGACGACTGATCCCAGCCTGGTGCTGAGAACACAGGACATGGAGCAGTCCTGGCTGGATGACCACCTCATGTTGCTCTCCCAAGACCAGTTGCTTAACCCGGAAACATCTCAGTTATATGAGAACCACGAGGAGCTGCCACAGAACCACTCCTTTAACCCGGATTATACATCTGTAATCTTACAGGACCCCACACGCCCCTCATCTCCTTCGTTTCGGAATCTTTCAGGTTGGTCAACTTCTTCCAATGTGTATTTTTCCGATGAAATGTCGGAAGTAGATCAGGACATCTATACCTCATCAGATACACCGACAAATACATCAGAAGGAAGACCCAACTGTTCCTCGGCACACACCTTCAGTACCTTAGCCAACCCCTCAGGACGCCTCACTACTTTAGTCAGTCTTTCAGGGCACGCCCCCAGTGCCTTGGCCACCCCTTCAAGGCACGCCCCCAGTGCCTTGGCCACCCCTTCAAGGCACGCCCCCAGTGCCTTGACCACCCCTTCAGGGCACGCCCCCAGTGCCTTGGCCACCCCTTCAAGGCACGCCCCCAGTGCCTTGGCCACCCCTTCAAGGCACGCCCCCAGTGCCTTGGCCACCCCTTCAGGGCACGCCCTCAGTGCCTTGGCCACCCCTTCAAGGCACGCCCCCAGTGCCTTGACCACCCCTTCAGGGCACGCCCCCAGTGCCTTGGCCACCCCTTCAGGACACGCCCTCAGTGCCTTGGCCACCCCTTCAGGACACTCTCCCAACGCCTTGATCAACCCCTTGTCCACCTCCAGAAAAGGTTACCATCATCGGAACACCAGAAAATATCTAAAAGATCCAAATGAAAAGAAACTACGTTCACAAAAGCTAAACAACGAATCATCGAAGCTGCATCGTAACAAGAAAAAGGAAAATATCAAGAAAACAGAAATACTGGAGCAACAACTACAGCAGGACCAGAAGCAGCTGACACTCGAATGTCAACAGTTGGAGGACCACCTTCACTGGTGCCGAGAAATGTACAAGGAACACATCAGTAAAGTCTTCCCTCTCACATAGTTGTAGTAAAGTGTTCTGCACATAACAGCACCAAGTTAACCGGCTATAAGTCACGGTCGTGGACCACTTTAGTGTCACCTTGATGTATTTAAACTAATTTATTCAACATAACTTACCATCAGTAATATATAATAATTACATCTTGTTTCTAGTGTAATACAGAGTAGCCATAAAGTATGACCTGATACATTATACACATTATAAAACAAAAGTATCATACACGACGAACATACAGAGCCGTAATGAAACTATAGTGTCCTTGCCTATACTGTTTTTGTTGTTCAGTATATTAAAACCAATGTACTCCACCTGTGATATATTGTTTATATATTATTGTATTATTCATGTAACTTATAATAAATGATTACGATAATTAGGTTCATCTTACACAGTAGTTACCTTAAAGTGTTTAATAGATATTGAAGTCATTGTTTGTTCTGATGGGAGCTTTTAACCTGATGGGAACTCTTAACTTTATGAGAACTCTTAACCTGATTGGAGCTCTTAAGCCTGATGGGAACTCTTAACCTGATGGGAACTCTTTAACTTTATGGGAACTCTTAACCTGATGAGAACTCTTAACTTTATAAGAACTCTTAACCTGATTGGAGCTCTTAACCTGATGGGAACTCCTAACTTGATGGGAACTCTTAACCTGATGAGAACTCTTAATTTTATGAGAACTCTTAACCTGATGAGAACTCTTAACCTTATGAGAACTCTTAACCTGATGAGAACTCTTAACATGATGGGAACTCTTAACCTGATGAGAACTCTTAACTTTATGAGAACTCTTAACCTGATTGGAGCTCTTAACCTGATGAGAACTCTTAACTTTATGAGAACTCTTAACCTGATTGGAGCTCTTAACCTGATGGGATCTCCTAACTTGATGGGAACTTTTAACCTGATGGGAACTCTTAACCTGATGAGAACTCTTAACTTTATGGGAACTCTTAACCTGATGGGAGCTCTTAACCTGATGGGAACTCCTAACTTGATGGGAACTTTTAACCTGATGGGAACTCTTAACCTGATGAGAACTCTTAACTTTATGGGAACTTTTAACCTGATGGGAACTTTTAACCTGATGGGAACTCTTAACCTGATGGGAGCTCTTAACCTGATGGGAACTTTTAACCTGATGGGAACTTTTAACCTGATGGGAACTCTTAACCTGATGGGAGCTCTTAACCTGATGGAAACTTTTAACCTGATGGGAACTCTTAACCTGATGGGAACTCTTAACCTGATGATAACTCTTAACATGATGGGAACTTTTAACCTGATGGGAACTCTTAACCTGATGGGAGCTCTTAACATGATGGGAACTTCTAACCTGATGGGAACTCTTAACTTGATGTGAACTATTAACCTGATGGGCACTCTTAACCTGATGGAAACTCTTAACTTGATGGGAACTATTAACCTGATGGGAACTCTTAACCTGATGGAAACTCTTAACTTGATGGGAACTATTAATCTGATGGGAACTCTTAACCTGATGGGAACTCTTAACATGATGGGAACTCTTAATCGGATGGGAACTCTTAACCTGATGGTAACTCTTAACATGATGGGAACTCTTAACCTGATGGTAACTCTTAACATGATGGGAACTTTTAACCTGATGGGAGCTCTTAACCTGATGGGAGCTCTTAACCTGATGGGAGCTCTTAACCTGATGGTAACTCTTAACCTGATGGGAGCTCTTAACCTGATGGGAGCTCTTAACCTGATGGTAACTCTTAACCTGATGGGAGCTCTTAACCTAATGGGAGCTCTTAACCTGATGGGAGCTCTTGACCTGATGGGAGCTCTTAACCTGATGGGAACTCTTTTAGCACATAATGACTACCTGTATGTGTGCAGGTGACTTGTAATTCTGATAGTTAATATTTGTAACATATGAAGATTTAATCCCCCCCCCCCAGCTTATTTCACCTGATGATTAACTACCTTGACACTGCCTACCTTGGGGGGTTAAATTAGAGTAGGTTATATTATCGAAGGTTAGGTTAGGTAACGTTTTGTTAGAGTAAGTTAGGTTATTCACCTCCCTCATTTACTCAACTCCTTACTTAACTACTCAAATATTCACCGCCTCACTTACTTCCTCCCCTCCTTATTTACCTCACTTACTGTACGTGGCAGTGAGAAGTGATACCACCCTCAGTGTCAAGACCTGACTGAATTACTCACAATAGGCAAACTGTACTTCAAGCTTTGTCAATAAATTTGTTAAACTAAAACTTTACTTCCGCATCAGCATACAGGCCACAGCTGTTGTAAAACTTATCAGTATTAGATAAAAAAAGAGTCACACAACGAATCAAATTTTGTGAAAAAAAATTAATTATTCGTCGGTAAATACTTCATCAGGTTTAATTTAAGTACAAAGACTACAGAAGAATACAAAATATATCATACGGTATTAGGTTTTAACACATAATAGCCTACATTACATAGAACATAACATAAAACAGATTATATCACAAAAGTTTGAAATGAATTAATGTGTCCTGCCAGTTATTGACCTTTAGTAGACTGTCAGACGTGTTGACAGTTTGTGCTACATCATTAAACAGTCATCTTAAGAAGCGAGAACAGTTTAGAGTGGATGGAAACTATGAGTCAGACATACGGTGGTGTGGAGGGTCCGGGCAGCTCTGGCAAGTACTCCTTGTTTCTCTCATAAAACTCACAACACCATTGTTTATGAGCCTCCAGGAGCTGACACCTGGCTTCTAAACGTTGGTTGTTCACCTGAAGCTGTTGCTGTTGCTGCTGCATGTCGATGGAAACTGTTTTACGTCTCTCACGGTACAGCTGTGTCGCCTCGTTGTTCAGTTCTCTTCTGTGCCTCTTTTTCTCTTCTCCATCTGGCATATACACTCTAGTGTGTCGGTGAGGTGCGCCCTTTTTCCCGACCCTCCGCTGCTTGGCTACAACACTGAGGGAGGAGCCTGAGGAATGAGTAGATGCTTCTCCTGACAACTGATCTCCAGATTCAGAAGTATTATCTGATGTTCCCGCGAAATCTACTGCTGCATTGATATTGTGACATGCAGCTGACAGAACTCCTGGCTGATAAGTGCTGAATGATGTCCCCGGCAGATCTTCCTGTTGATAAGTACTATGGGCAACAGCCGACGCGCCCAAGGGTTGAGTTGAGTCATCAAGGATCAGAGGAAGATCTGAGAGGTCCAACTGCAGCGGTTCTTCTCTGAGACTGAGCTCCTCAAACATCTCTCTGGGGTCCATGACGCCCAGACCCTGTCGAGATAGGTTGGGTTAGGTCAGGTCAAGTTAGGTTAGGTTAAGTTAGGGCAGGTCAAGTAAGGTTCGATAAAACAATATCACATCCCCAGCCAGACTTAATTCGTAATTATAATTAATGACAACGATAATCACAGACTGACTATGAGAAGCCCTCTTAGTGTGGGTTGACGGGGACAAGGGGAGGGAAATAAAAATAATATCAGTGAGACAGTCAGTTAGGTTAGGTAAATAAAGTACTTAATAATCTTACCAAATCTTCCTCATCATCATCGAACCTGTAATCATAGGACGAGTAAGGGGCGTTGTGAGACATAGCGATGAGGTCTTGTCTGTATCGCCGTGTAACAGTAATAGGAAGTAACGTAACGGAAGTGTCCACCTATTAGAACTCGAATCAACGTTGAATGATCAAATCCAGCTGTGACACGATAAAAAAAGTGTATGGACGATGTCAGGGATCCTCCAGCCAGTGAGTAACGTGACGGTGAGTGACCAATAGATCCTCCAGCCAGTGAGTAACGTAAAGGTAAGTGACCAGTTGACAATGGATGAAGAGGATAGGTGGATAATCAAACGTGGCTCTGGTCATGACTGCGACGGAGAATGATGTGTGTGTCTCGGCTGGTTGGTTTATATATATGTAGGGAGGAGGAGGAGGAGGGCGGCGCCAAGGACCTGGAACTGAACACGAAGAGGACAGACAAGTTGTTTTCCTCTGCCCGACAAACTTTCTTTGAAATGTTGTTGACTCACTTAGACTGAACGACTCTCTCTCTCTCTCTCTCTCTCTCTCTCTCTCTCTCTCTCTCGTTAGATAGATATATATGATCACCTGAAGGTTAACACCCTCCAGCTTATCTCACCCAAATACTACCTGAGGGGTTAAGTTAAGTTAGGTTAGGTTAACTTAAGTTAGATTAGGTGAAGTTGGGTTTTGTTAGGTTAAGTTCTGGCTAACTTAGGCTACATTAAGTTAGATTAGGTTTGGTTAGGTTAGATTAGTTTCATTCATCTCTTATCTTCGTGTAATATTAGAGTCATCCATCTTTTATCTTTCCTTCATGTTCTGTTAGAGTCATAAGAACATAAGAATGAAGGAAACTGCAGCGGGACTATTGGCCCACACTAGGCAGTCCAGTTTACACCCAACCCCTATCGCTCATATATCCATCCAACCTATGTTTGAAGCTATCCAGCGTTTCGAGTTAATGATGATGTTTGGAAACTTATTCCACGACTATATCTATTTTTTTTTATTTTAAAACAATTGCTACGAGTTCGCTCCTGGTTGGATAGTTTAATACCTTTGTTTAGCCCTGACTTCCATTTATACACCTCGATCATATCGCCCCTCACTCTACGTCTCTCGAGGGAGTGCAAATTTAGATGCTTTAACCTGTCTTTGTACTCAAGGTTCCTAATGCCCGGGATTAGTCTTCTCATTCTCCTCTGAATTCCTTCTCGGGATTTTATATCCATTCTATAGTACGGTGACCAGATCTGAACTGTGCAATCCAAATTTACTTATGTTTGCTGTCTCCGCCTATATCTATGTCATTTATGTATACTCGTATAAGAAATAGGAATGGTCCAAGTACTGAGCCTTGGGGTATTCCACCAGTGACGTAACCCCAATCGGTAGTGCCTTTAATGCTTACGCGCTGTTTCCTGCCTTGTAACCACACCCTAATCCATTTGAGAGTATCTCCTCCAATTCCATAAGCCTCCACTTTTCGTATTAGTGTTTCGTGGGGGGACTCTGTCGAAGGCTTTGCAAAGTCAAGTTATACCAAATCATAATCGTGCCCGTCATCCATCTATTATTTAACTTTCCTCCAAGTACTGTCAGAATACATCCATCTCTTATCTCTCATGGACTGTCAGAGTCATCCATCTCTTATATCTCCTTCATGTACTGTTAGAGTCATCCATCTCTTATCTCTCCTTCATGTACTGTTAGTCATCCATCTCTTATCTCTCCTTCATGTACTGTTAGTCATCCATCTCTTATCTCTCATGGACTGTCAGAGTCATCCATCTCTTATATCTCCTTCATGTACTGTTAGTCATCCATCTCTTATCTCTCCTTCATGTACTGTTAGTCATCCATCTCTTATCTCTCCTTCATGTACTGTTAGTCATCCATCTCTTATCTCTCCTTCATGTACTGTTAGTCATCCATCTCTTATCTCTCCTTCATGTACTGTTAGTCATCCATCTCTTATCTCTCCTTCATGTACTGTTAGTCATCCATCTCTTATCTCTCCTTCATGTACTGTTAGTCATCCATCTCTTATCTCTCCTTCATGTACTGTTAGTCATCCATCTCTTATCTCTCCTTCATGTACTGTTAGTCATCCATCTCTTATCTCTCCTTCATGTACTGTTAGTCATCCATCTCTTATCTCTCCTTCATCTCTCCTTCATGTACTGTTAGTCATCTATCTCTTATCTCTCCTTCATGTACTGTTAGTCATCCATCTCTTATCTCTCCTTCATGTACTGTTAGTCATCCATCTCTTATCTCTCCTTCATGTACTGTTAGTCATCCATCTCTTATCTCTCCTTCATGTACTGTTAGTCATCCATCTCTTATCTCTCCTTCATGTACTGTTAGTCATCCATCTCTTATCTCTCCTTCATGTACTGTTAGTCATCCATCTCTTATCTCTCCTTCATGTACTGTTAGTCATCCATCTCCCTCTCCTTCATGTATATTAGTCATCCTCTCTTATCTCTCCTTCATGTACTACTAGGCATCCATCTCTTATCTCTCCTTCATGCCTTTCATTCATCCATCTCTTATCTCCCTTCTGTACTATTAGTCATCATCTGCCTCTCTCCTTCATGCTATTAGTCATCCATCTCTTATCTCTGGACTGTCAGAGTCATCCATCTCTTATATCTCCTTCATGTACTATTAGTCATCCATCTCTTATCTCTCCTTCGCTGCTGTTAGTCATCCATCTCCCTCTCTCCTTCATGTACTGTGGTATGCATCTCTTATCTCTCCTTCATACACTGGCTAGTCATCCATCTCTTATCTCTCATGGTTGTCCAGAGTCATCCATCTCTTATATCTCCTTCATGTACTGTTAGTCATCCATCTCTTATCTCTCCTTCATGTACTGTTAGTTATCCATCTCTTATCTCTCCTTCATGTACTGTTAGTCATCCATCTCTTATCTCTCCTTCATGTACTGTTAGTCATCCATCTCTTATCTCTCCTTCATGTACTGTTAGTCATCCATCTCTTATCTCTCCTTCATGTACTGTTAGTCATCCATCTCTTATCTCTCCTTCATGTACTGTTAGTCATCCATCTCTTATCTCTCCTTCATGTACTGTTAGTCATCCATCTCTTATCTCTCCTTCATGTACTGTTAGTCATCCATCTCTTATCTCTCCTTCATGTACTGTTAGTCATCCATCTCATATCTCTCCTTCATGTACTGTTAGTCATCCATCTCTTATCTCTCCTTCATGTACTGTTAGTCATCCATCTCTTATCTCTCCTTCATGTACTGTTAGTCATCCATCTCTTATCTCTCCTTCATGTACTGTTAGTCATCCATCTCATATCTCTCCTTCATGTACTGTTAGTCATCCATCTCTTATCTCTCCTTCATGTACTGTTAGTCATCCATCTCTTATCTCTCCTTCATGTACTGTTAGTCATCCATCTCTTATCTCTCCTTCATGTACTGTTAGTCATCCATCTCTTATCTCTCCTTCATGTACTGTTAGTCATCCATCTCTTATCTCTCCTTCATGTACTGTTAGTCATCCATCTCTTATCTCTCCTTCATGTACTGTTAGTCATCCATCTCTTATCTCTCCTTCATGTACTGTTAGTCATCCATCTCTTATCTCTCCTTCATGTACTGTTAGTCATCCATCTCTTATCTCTCCTTCATGTACTGTTAGTACTGTTAGTCATCCATCTCTTATCTCTCCTTCATGTACTGTTAGTCATCCATCTCTTATCTCTCCTTCATGTACTGTTAGTCATCCATCTCTTATCTCTCCTTCATGTACTGTTAGTCATCCATCTCTTATCTCTCCTTCATGTACTGTTAGTCATCTATCTCTTATCTCTCCTTCATGTACTGTTAGTCATCCATCTCTTATCTCTCCTTCATGTACTGTTAGTCATCCATCTCTTATCTCTCCTTCATGTACTGTTAGTCATCCATCTCTTATCTCTCCTTCATGTACTGTTAGTCATCCATCTCTTATCTCTCCTTCATGTACTGTTAGTCATCCATCTCTTATCTTTCCTTCATGTACTGTTAGTCATCCATCTCTTATCTCTCCTTCATGTACTGTTAGTCATCCATCTCTTATCTCTCCTTCATGTACTGTTAGTCATCCATCTCTTATTTCTCCCAAACGTTACGTAAAACACAACAAGCCAAATGCCTTAATTATTTATTACCATAAATTATATAAATATATAGTACAAAATATAAAATTACACTCTTATAATATTTATAACATCTATATTATAATGTGGTTAAGACAAGTGTTAGATAGGACTTATACTGTACAATACTTAACTACAGGTTATATAGTTTGGTTGATACAAGTATTGCTTCTGTACCTGCACTCTATGTACAGTCGCTCAAAAACGTATGTGAAAAATATTGTTCATGACAATATAACACACCGGACGTATGTTTGGTAAATGGTAGAGGACCAGGCAACAGTGCCATCAACAACTGGGATATTGGTCGTTTTGACGTCCATCGGACCCCACTTTTCAGATTCTTTTTTGAGCGACTAATGTTAACCAAGCCTATATGACAATTGTCATATATCTATCTATTTATTTATATCTTATATCTATCTTGTCGAGATGAGAGTGTCAGTTAGTAGTGCCAGAGTACTGTTGATATCACCACTAGTTTATCGGAGCTGAGTCAAGGAAGTTCTCGCCGAAAAGTTCCACACATTTTGCTCGACGCCATTGTACAATATCAACCAGAAGCTGATGTTTGTATTTCAGGTGTTTATTCTTATGCGTCAGTTCCTGTTCTCTCTCTGCCAGTTCCTTGATGGTTGCCTTCTTCTTGTTACGATGAAGCCTTGACGATTCGTTGTTCAGCGTTCGGGTGCGTTGTATTTTCTCCGCTTCATTAGCGTTCGGGTGCGTTGTATTTTCTCCGCTTCATTATCTAGAAATACTCTGGTGTGTCGGTGACGGTAACCTTTTCTGGAGGTGTTGGTGTGTTGTGAGGTCCCCGGCTTGAGGATAGAAGATACGCCGTAGTCACCAGCCGAAGAAGAGGTGATGTTATGGAGTAAGGGAGATGATGAGAGGCTGGTGGTGTCCTGATGGGTCGTGCATGGATAATCACTTTCCAGGGAATGGCTCTGGCACACCGTCAGGGAGTTATCATACAACTGGAATGTTTCCGGGTTCAGGAACTGATCATGAAACAGCACTTCGGAGTTCTCGTACAACTGTGATGTTTCCGGGTTAAGCAACTGGTCTTGGGAGAGCACTTTGGGGTTCTCGTACAACTGGGATGTTTCCGGGTTAAAGGAGTGGTTCTGTGGCAGCTCCTCGTGGTTCTCATATAACTGGGATGTTTCCGGGTTAAGCAACTGGTCTTGGGAGAGCAACATGAGGTGGTCATCCAGCCAGGACTGCTCCATGTCCTGTGTTCTCAGCACCAGGCTGGGATCAGTCGTCCCCAAACTCTGTACACAACAATATCCATATTACTATGACACAATGACTTCCGGGAAAAAATTACCAACAGTAATAACAACAACAACAACAATAATAATAATATATGACGTATTAATACATTTGAAAAATGTAAAAAAAAATAATTTGGTGGTTGTTAATATAATTGTTGTTAACTTAAACTTTTCTACCTAATTTGTTATAAAATTACATAATTGTTAATTCGAGATTGTAGAAGTCTTAAAGTTAATTCCTTGACGATTAATCATAAAAATTAATTCCTGCTTGATTTTGTGACACTTGAAGCCAAGTTAAGAAAATAATGAGATAAATATGAGTACAGAGACTGCAGCTACAACCTGTTGGTAACTTACCAGGTAGTCGTCCTCTGGCCAGGCTGCTGCCAGGTGACCTGTGACCCAGTCCTCTCCCAGGTGACCTGTGACCCCGTCCTCTCCCAGGTGACCTGTGACCCCGTCCTCTCCCAGGTGACCTGTGACCCCGTCCTCTCCCAGGTGACCTGTGACCCCGTCCTCTCCCAGGTGACCTGTGACCCAGTCCTCTCCCAGGCCCGACACCGCCGCCATCCCTGACGCAGCGTGGCCAGAGTCTTTGCAGAAGGTTCCTCCCTCGCCGTCATAGCAGAGAGTGTTGGGGGACCCCCCCAGGGTGGCTGCCAACAAGTCCATGTCAAAACTAAGGTGAGGATCAAGTACCGAGACACACTCCTGCTGGAGGATGGCGTAAGGAGAGCTACGGAGGTCCTGCATATTGTTGTGGTGTGCGGACGACGTGGATGGAGTCTTCACCGGGCACCGTCAAGGGACAACTTAACACTCGGTACAAGGTGGACAGTGAGTCGAGCTCTATCTCACGATAAGAGAGAAGGTGAAGGTGACAATGAGCGGCTGTGATCATGACTCTCGGCGGGGCTAGTGTGGTGTTGACGGCTGTGAGCGGCCACATATATACGCGAGTGAGTGTCCCGCCGACAAACACAGCGTGTCGGGTAGAGAACCAGTACCATCCCCGTTCTCTGGCGGCCGCCTCAGAGGTAAATAAACGTTTGTGGGAGCCGATATTCTCACCCGTCTTGTTCCTGAACACTTAACTTAGTGAGGCTGAGGACATCCGGTTGATGTAATATTATTTCATTATCACATCACTCATCAACTAATATTTTCTTTATAATATAACATTGTTCATCTGTTACCAATTAGAATGTTTCATGATATTATCCGCAAAGTTTATTGAGTCAGCCAGGGTTGGTAATCACAGAGCTAAGACGTTCCTGATTGTCTAACTAGAGAGAAAATGACACCAAAATAACACTGAGACTCTACCCTAACCAGATTAACACCTCACTTAATCCAACCTAACCTAACCAACTGACCGACGAGAATGTTAATAATAATAATAATAATAATAATAATAATAATATTGATTTAAGTGAAAGGAAGATAATAAAGCTAAAAATATTTAATTTTTTGTTTTCTGGTGCTTTCGAGTTAACCAATCAGGTACATTCTTACACCTTAAGTTAACCAATGAGGTACATTCTTACACCTTAAGTTAACCAATGAGGTACATTCTTACACCTTAAGTTAACCAATCAGGTGCATTCTTACACCTTAAGTTAACCAATCAGGTACATTCTTACACCTTAAGTTAACCAATCAGGTGCATTCTTACACCTTAAGTTAACCAATCAGGTACATTCTTACACCTTAAGTTAACCAATCAGGTGCATTCTTACACCTTAAGTTAACCAATCAGGTACATTCTTACACCTTAAGTTAACCAATCAGGTACATTTTTTATTTATTTATTTACGAAAAAATCACAACAGACAATTTCCGTGCTATTGTTCATCGTGTTGTTGTTATTGATCGTGTTCTTGTTCTGCGTGTTGTTCTTGTTCACCGTACTGTGTTTGTTCACTGTATATAACGTATATAACAGTACGGAGGGAGACTTATTTCCGTAGTGTTCATGTTCGCCGCCACATATACGTGTACAATGTTTCTATGTGGAAAGGTTGTGCATCTATTGGAGCCTTGTTAGGTACAGGTGTGTGTGTGTGTGTGTGTGTGTGTGTGTGTGTGTGTGTGTGTGTGTGTGTGTGTGTGTGTGTGTGTGTGTGTATGTGTGTGTGTGTGTGTGTGCATCTAAACTACGCCGTCTGATTAGCAGCTAAAGTGACAAAATTCCAGTAAGAGAGAGAGAGAGACCCGTTATACAGTGTACAGACTCGATGTAGCAGCAATAGTATAAAGAACATTACGACAAAATGGATAATGAGTCACAAAACTAAGTATTTAATACGTTTTATTGAAGTAGACTGTCAGACGTGTTGACAGTTTGTGTTACATCATTAAACAGTCATCTTAAGAAGCGAGAACAGTTTAGAGTGGATGGAAACTATGAGTCAGACATACGGTGGTGTGGAGGGTCCGGGCAGCTCTGGCAAGTACTCCTTGTTTCTCTCATAAAACTCACAACACCATTGTTTATGAGCCTCCAGGAGCTGACACCTGGCTTCTAAACGTTGGTTGTTCACCTGAAGCTGTTGCTGTTGCTGCTGCATGTCGATGGAAACTGTTTTACGTCTCTCACGGTAGACCTGCGACGCCTCGTTGTTCAGTTCTCTGATGCGTAGCTGTTTCTCTTTTCCCTCTGGCAGAAACTTTCTGGTGTGTCGGTGAAGCGCGCCCTTGTTGGAGGCGGTCGACGGCCCATCCACGGCACCGAGAACGATGCTCGAGGGCTGATTAGGTTTACTTATTATATGCAGACCTTCTAGAGAATAGGTGTTGTGTGAAGTTCCCGGCACATCTGTTGGTTGATAGGTGTTGTGTGAAGTTCCCGGCACATCTGTTGGTTGATAGGTGTTGTGTGAAGTTCCCGGCACATCTGATGGTTGATAGGTGTTGTGTGAAGTTCCCGGCACATCTGTTGGTTGATAGGTGTTGTGTGAAGTTCCCGGCACATCTGTTGGTTGATAGGTGTTGAGTGAAGTTCCCGGCACATCTGTTGGTTGATAGGTGTTGTGTGAAGTTCCCGGTACATCTGTTGGTTGATAGGTGTTGTGTGAAGTTCCCGGCACATCTGTTGGTTGATAGGTGTTGTGTGAAGTTCCCGGTACATCTGTTGGTTGATAGGTGTTGTGTGAAGTTCCCGGCACATCTGTTGGTTGATAGGTGTTGTGTGAAGTTCCCGGCACATCTGCTGGTTGATAGATGTTGTGTGAAGCTCCCGGTACATCTGTTGGTTGATAGGTGTTGTGTGAAGTTCCCGGTACTTCTGTTGGTTGATAGGTGTTGTGTGAAGTTCCCGGCACATCTGTTGGTTGATAGGTGTTGTGTGAAGTTCCCGGCACATGGTGGACACCACTCGACGGGTGTGTGAGGTTGTGAAGTAAGGGAAACTGGAAGGAGGCGGGGACCTGAAAGGTCGTGGATGGATACTCTTGGGTGAGGGACGGGTTCTGTTGCAGCAACTGCGGGTTCTGTTGCAGCAACTGCGGGTTCTGTTGCAGCAATTGCGGGTTCTGTTGCAGCAACTGCGGGTTATGTTGCAGCAACTGCGGGTTCTGTTGCAGCAACTGCGGGTTCTGTTGCAGCAATTGCGGGTTCTGCAGCAACTGCGGGTGCAGCAAAGAAACTGCGGGACCTGTTGCAGCAACTGCGGGTTCTGTTGCAGCAACTGCGGGTTCTGTTGCAGGAACTGCGGGTTCTGTTGCAGCAACTGCGGGTTCTGTTGCAGAAACTGCGGGACCTGTTGCAGCAACTGCGGGTTCTCTTGCAGAAACTCCAATTTTTCACTGGGGTCGAACAGCGCTTTAGTGAAGGACTCGTCCGGCGACTGCACCAGGAGACTCTCGCCCTGACAGGACTGCCTCAGGTTTACCGTAGCCAGACTCTGAACAATGAAATAAATATTTATTTGTGAGATTTTCTGGTAAAAGGAGAGGGAAATATATCCGTATAACAATACAAACTTAGTAACCAATTAACAGTGTTAAACTCACCGCGTATTGATCGTCTGATGAGGCCGCGAAGCCTTGTTCATGACCCGATGTTGTGGCTCCTAGATGAAGGCAACTACTTGTGGCCCATCCTGACGCTACTTCACCTAGTTCAAGTGGATAACGTGAGTCCCACCTTGAAGTTGTCCCTCCTAGGGCGTCACCCCTGGTGGTTTTCTTGCTCAGGTAACAGAGGCTGTGGTTGTCCTGCCCTGGTACCCAGCTGGAGGAGGAATCAGAATATTCCATGGCGGTAAAGTCTTCCACGTCTCTGCTGTGCGTCGCTTCACAAGGCGGTCACAACACCAATACAAACTTCGGTTGAGGAATCTTTGTAAAAGTTGACACTATTGTAATGGTGAGCCTCTTGCTGCCAGTAGCCTCGTGACTGACCAAACCTGACGATGGTTTCTGTATATACAGTATAATGGCATCCTTGAGCTAAGGGCATGTTCCCGTTTGACCAAGAAGACCGGGACTGTTCCCACAGGCAGGTCTTGGGTATGTGTTACCATAACGTTTGTTTCCAGTTTTCACAAGTATTTGATAGAACGGCCGCCCCCTCACTTCCCACTCTTCCGGACGTGGAGTGAATCTTGTCGTTGTTATTAGAGGGAAAACTCCCGCTGTTGTTGTCCCTCTCGACGGTTTAGTGATTAATATTATTATTATTATTATTATTATTATTATTATTATTATTATTATTATTATTATTATTATTATTATTATTATTATTATTATTATTATTATTATTATTATTATTATTATTATTATTATTATATTATTATTATTATTATTATTATCATTATTAGTATTATTATTATTATTATTATTATTATTATTATTATTATTATTATTATTATCATCATTATTATTATTATTATCATTATTATTATTATTATTATTATTATTATTAATATTATTATTATTATCATTATTATTATTATTATTATTATTATTATTATTATTATCGTTATTATTATTATCATTATCATTATTGTTATTATTATTATTATTATTATTATTATTATTATTGTTATTATCATTATCATTATTATTATCATTACCTGTATTATTATTATCATTATTATTATTATTATCATCATTATTTTTATCATTATTATTATTGCTATTATTATTATTATTATTATTTTATTATTATTATTATTAACAACAACAATAATGCTAATAATAATTGCCATTAAACATTACAAACTCCTACTTACAGATGTTCCTGTAACTTATAAATTAACAAACCTGGAGAGTGAGGGAGGTACTGTATGTGTACATCACCGTCACTGTGTGTCGTGGGATCACCCTTATAGACGGTGAGAAAGAATCTTTGAGGAATATATGAGAGTAATTTCACAGTTCAGTGCCACAGTGAAACCTCTATTTAACGGACTATATGGATAGGAAAGTCCGTTATATCGAGGGTCCGTTAGATGCTACCCCATCCTCATCTAACGGATTATATGATAAAGTCCGTTAAATGGAGGGTTCATTGTATTCACACTCTCACCAGACCTTGGCATCCTGGAGGGTGATACATATACCCAAAGTATACTTTATAACCGTCACAGTTATCGTGTTTACATCAGAGGAAGAGCGGACATGACAGAGTTTACGTGGAAATAAAACAAGAGCTTCAGTATATTGTCCTGAAGAAAGGGATGCCTTAACACAAAGACCTCAAGACTCGGTGCAGTTGTTTTCCCCTTTAAACAGTAACAATTCTGTCTTTAAATTTAACATGTTTACCTCCCCCCTCCCCCTCCCCATCAGTTTGGTTTGTTCCGGTCAAGACGGTCGAAGAAGTGGCCGATACGTCTTAACTTCTTAGTCAGAAGAGTACAGTAATGGTTATGTACACTGGCGCCTAAACAGACATCGTG